CCCTCCTTTCACCCTCCCTTTGCTGCTGTGCCCTCCTTGCCGTGGCACCAGGCAAACCTCGCCTCGCTCTCCCTCATTCACTCAAGCAAGCAGCCACGAGGTGCCCAGCTTCGTTAATGCCATGAGCAGCCACAAACATGCTCCGAGGAGGCCAGGGAGCCCGTTAAAAGAGCAGTCCTCAGTTGCGATGGGAAGTGTGAACGTGCTAAGCCAAGCCTCCCCTGCTCGCTGCTGGGAAGCACGACTGACAGCTAATAATTTGGAGCGGTGTCTAATGTAAATACAGAAGTAGAACATGCGCTGAAGCGCGCGGCTCCTGTGAGCTCCCAGCTTTCAGCTTGGAGCAGCTCTGCCCAGACATGCTGGTGTCTGAGCCGGAGCTGATAGAAGGCTGGGGATGAAATGAACAACCCCACCCCAAACCCATCCTTTCAACTTCTGCTTCTGGAAGTCAGAGAAGAGTCAGGTCTCACAAGATCCTGCCCCTCCACTCCTGCTCTCGTGAGACCTCACCTGGAGCACTGTGTGCAGTTCTGGTGTCCTCAGCATAAAAAGGACATGGAGCTGTTGGAGCAAGTCCAGAGGAGGCCACGAGGATGCTCAGGGGCTGGAGCAGCTCCTGTATGGAGACAGGATGAGAAAGTTGGGGCTGTTCAGCCTGGAGAAGAGGAGCTGCGTGGAGACCTCAGAGCAGCTTCCAGTGTCTAAAGGGGGCCTATAGGGATGCTGGGGATGGACTCTTCATCAGGGACTGTAGTGATAGGACAAGGGGTAATGGGTTCAAACTGAAACAGGGGAAGTTTAGATTGGATATAAGGAGGAAATTCTTTACCGTGAGGGTGCTGAGGCACTGGAATGGGTTGCCCAGGGAGGTTGTGAATGCTCCATCCCTGGCAGTGTTCAAGGCCAGGTTGGACAGAGCCTTGGGTGAAATGGTTTAGTGTGAGGTGTCCCTGCCCATGGCAGGGGGTTGGAACTGGATGATCTTAAGGTCCTTTCCAACCCGAACTATTCTATGATTCTATATTTCTAAGTTCCACCAGGACAGAGTTTTGCCATTGCATGAACTTTAGAGTGTAGAACATGGGAATGATGTTGGAGAACTGAAGGCCTGCGGAAAAGCTGTGATTCCTCTGCAGAAGGGAGGTTGGCAGCACCGTTACTCAGCAGGAACAGATGCCTCTTCTTTGCGGAGAGAAATCCACAGCTGTGCTCCCTTCCTCCCTAGCAAGACAACCCCTGGGAGCATCCCTGCTTCCCTGGAAGATACCTGGACACCGTGGAGAAGACAATAGAAGAGAGCCCTCTGTCTCTCAGACATGACAGAGCCCATTCCACATGGACAATCACCTATTTCCCACCTATCAACCATCCCCACAGCTCTGGGCAGCAGCAGGGGCTGCCGGGACGAGCACAGGCTGCTGATGCTGCAGATGGGCTGCGATGCTCAGGGATGCTCAGCTGTGAAAAGCCACTTTCCCAGCCCACGGTGCAGCTCTCGAATGTCTTGGCTGTAAATACCCTGAGCTGGATGTGGGAAGATGGGACAGCAAGGAGGGGACAGCCTCCACCTTCCCTGTTAGCCCAGAAGCTGCCTTAGGCCTGCTGGCAGTGACTCAGATGCCGAATGGGAAGAGCAGGCGTGCCGTGCCATCTGTTTCTCCTCTGGAAGTATTTAGACCGGACTGGTGTAAGCAGAGGGGTAGGAACAGATCTGCACCCTCTCCATAAGGCGCTTGAAGAGGGGAGAGTGCTGCACCCCAAAAAGCACGGGCAGCAGATGAACCCCCGCACCTCCACTGATCAGCTGCTTTAAAACCGCACCATCCCACCCGGTCTTTATCCCATGGCATTTGGGTGACAGTCCTGCATATGTCACCAGAGAGGTGTCAGCTCTCACTTGGAAGCCGGCTGTGCCGATTTAGCATCCTGTCACTCGGAGCTGCACACAGGCACGGCCTGAGAACACCGCTCCTCAGCCGCCCCATCGCATCCCATGTCCTCAGCCTCCCGAGGCTTTCCTCTCCTCTTTTCCCTGCTTCTTTCTCCCAACTGCTTGGCTGCTCATCCTGCCACCACACTGTTGTTCGGCTGCTGGAGCAGCAGCATCTTCCCACCCGCTTACAGGCATGGACTTTGGTGCTGCTGGCTGCCAAAGCAGCCTTCCAGGACACTGGGGATACAGCTCTGCTGTGCAACACAGGAACCAGTTTGCTCTTTAAGATATGACTCCTTGACAGTGGGAGTCATGCCTGGGAGGATGGTTGGGGTCCTTACATCATCTCCTTCCAGCAGAAGGGTACCTGTTCTTTTCCCTTAATCCCCTGAGGGTAGAAGGAATTTCATTCCAAAAGCTGAAGGCCCCTTGTGCTTTGGTGTGTATTTGGACAGCACAGTTGCTGCAGGACAAGACAGAGGGTTTGCATACATCCCTGAACTGGGTCAACTGGGAAGAGCCTTTGGCAGAAACGATGGCAGGGGAAAAGCAGGCCTTTGCTGATGCTGCTTGTCTGGGGCAAAATGTAATTGTAGAGGCAGCTATCCCTGCAAAGTCACATTGATGGATCTCCTCATGGAAATCTCCACAGCATCAGCCCCACCATCACCCTGGTGGGAAATGGTCCAGGAAGCAAATCCAAGAGGCTCATGTTCGCTGTCTTGCTTGCTGTTGCTGGGAAACTGTCCTTCCCAGATGGCACAGGGGAGCTGTCAGCCTGGAAAACGACGGGAACAGAAGAGCTGGGCAAAGGGACATGCCAGAGAGCTTGTGTGGGTTGTTAGGAGCAGTTTGTCCCTCAAAAGGAGATGTTTCCCTGTGGCAGGGCAAAATTAAACCTGGGATAAAGGTTTGGGTCTTTCAGAAGTAAGAACTCAACAGCCTTGTTGCTGATCTTGCTGGGCACTGGTGTAAATGGGATGCAGCTCCTCCAGTGATTTCCATGCCAGATACTGTGTGTATTGCTCCACTGCAGACTGGCTTGTACAGGCTGAGCTCCTGGAGCCCGGCAATACGTGCAGTTGCTTCCACTTTCAGTCTAATAGAATGCATTACTTTCTATCCTCCTCCCGCTCAGACTCATTTATAGTGATTTCATAGCTCAACCTGCCTCAGCAATAATCCCTGCAAACACCGAGTTCCACTGAGCTGATCAGTCCATGGACTAGGAGCATGCCTTTGAATCGATGTGAAAGCTGGAATCCACTCCATGCTGGATGTTACATTATACATTGGGAGATTTCTCGTCTCTTAAGGGATGGCTTGCAGCAGAGAGCGTACCGAGAAGTGTTGTTCTAGCACAAACACAGCTATTTAAATGAGCCAGTGAGAACAGAATTTGTGTTAGGTTGGGAGGATAAAATTGGATTGAAATTGGATATACCATTGCTCTCATCCATCCTTACTTTACATATGTTGGATTTCCTGCTGCCAGCATAAAGGAACAGCTCTAAAATAAGCCAAAGGTATGTAAATGGAGAGCAGTATGTTCAAGTGGAATTACAGTTTCACCTCTAGATCTGTCTGAGAAGCAGAAATAAGGCCAGAGCTCTGTGTTGGTTCACACACACTGTGCCTGTTCACATCATAGCTATGGGAGAGGTGCTCCTCACCACGTTATTGAGATGTAAATCGCCTGGGTGAGGAAGGGGGGTTAGGAGCACAGGTAGGAACCCCAACCCAGCGCTCCTGCGTCCTCCCAGCAGGGTGGGAACGTGTGCCCAGAGCCCGCAGCACTCCTCATCCTGCACTTGTGTCCTTGTCTTGGCTAGGAGATCCAGGAAGGATTTGCTTCAGTTTCCTTCATTGCTGAAAGGGAGGGATGAAACTTATTAATCCACAAAGATTAATAACTCAGGCTTTGCACTGCTCAGAAGGACAGCGATGTGCTCCAGAGCTGGAAACCCTCCCTCTCCTTCCCACACTTGCTGCTTGCCATCTGGCTGGGAGGCATGCAGAAGAGAAGACCCAAATCTTCCATTTAACGATACTGTGTGGTTTATTATCTCACCTCAGATTTTGTTGTTCATCTCTTTCACAGGTTTCATTTACACATGGAGCCTTTTAGCTTTAGCAGGCTACATGGCTTTCCCTTCTGATTCTGCAGATATCAGCCAGCCAAAAAGAAGAGAGACAAAAGAGCAATTGTCCTTAAGTTCTCACTCAGTCTTTCCTAGGCTTTATATATTGTATCCTCCTCTTCAGCTCCCCAGCCAAAAAGCTGGAATGCAAACTGAAATCAGCAAGCCAAAGCAGAGGAACAACTTCCACAGGAGCAGTAGGGACCCCTGTTTGGGACGTTTAAGCCCAAATATGACAAAGGTCTGGAGGTAACACTAGTGAAACCCATTGCACCACCCCTCAAACCTGCAGGCAGGAGTGAGCTGCATGACACTGCCCCTGCATGTTTCCTGTAGCAATTACCATGCGCTAAGAAGAAAGCCTAGGGTGGGATTTGTTAGCACTGAACACCTCGGATTGCAGCTCATTCCAGCTGTAATGAAGTGTTCAGCAGGGTTCAGCTCTGCAGGGGCTGAGCTGCTCGCAGGTGTAGCTTGCCTTACAAACTACTGGAAATTGCACCCTGAAGACCGAGAAGGAGTAGGAAAGTGTTGGGACCTGCTGGGAAGTGTTGCAATGCTACTAACAGTCAGCATCAGCTCTAGGGCCCAAACAGCACCCTAAAACAGGGAATAACCTTCCCAGAAGAAGAGTGTGTGCACGGGAGCGGGTGAGGACTCTGTAAAGTGAGCAAACACGACACAAAAGCCCTTCTGAGGAATATAAATATCTCCGTGATGATGAGCTGGTGAAAGGAGGGAAAGGCAGAACTCCCAAGGCAGAAATCAACCTGCTGACAGAACCGTCTGGGGTGTCCTGTAACATCTCTGCTAGCAGTTTCTTCAGGACAGCTTGGTATTTTTCCAGCTGCCTTGGGATGAGGCACATCCCAGCTCTGCCAGGAACAGCCCGCTGGGGGGGGGGGGAAGGCAGAAACATCAGAAGGAAAAGCTGAGGAGAGCAGACAGAGGCAGGTTGCGGAGCTCAGACCCTGCTTTGGTCAAGTTGGAAGAGGGTCTGGGGCTGATTTGAAGGGACAAGGACGATCCTCATGTAGGGAAAAAAGCAACGTTTTGAAGTCAATGCAGTCTTGTGCTGTTCAGAGGGCCAGAGTTTTCAAGCATTGGACCAGCTAGGGGCTGACTCAGAAACACAGATGAAAGCTCCTCCTGGCCTCAGACACTGTAAAGATGAAAATCATTGATTATGATCCTCCACTATCTCACACCCTGACCCTTCAGGCCCTCAGCTTCACTGGTGCTGGGGAAGCACCCTGCCTTAATAAAGGCTGAGGATGAAGCATCATCCCGCCTCCAGCCTGACTGACTTTGAGCTAGCTGTGGCTCAGATGCGCCTGAAGTAAATAGAGTTGTTCTGGAGGCACAGGAGTGCTCGTGGTTGCAGTAGGGAAGGGTGTCCACACTGGGATGTGCCAATTATTTAATGCTTTGAAGCGTGCATCCTTGCTGTTTAAATCCTATTATTGCTTCTTGGTGCACCATGGCTGTAATAGCTGCACATTAACCTGCAAAGTCTTGGCCAGATTCCAGTGTAGCTGGTTTGGGGTGGACCTACACACTGCTGCTGGTGGAGAGCACTGCTGAGCTCCCTGCAGGAGCGGCTGCGTGGGCAGGGCAAAGCGCAACCTGTATTCAGGTGGAAAAGCAGTTTTCAGACTTGGCTAACCAGGTAAGCATGCCTTTGAGGGCTTAGACAGGCACTTAAATCCCTAAAACCAGCAATTTTCTGCTCCTTTCCCATTTATGGGGCTAAACTTGGCTTCAGGACCCTTCTTCCCAGCCCAAAGAGAAAAACCAAAGTTGCTTTGTGATATGACAAACGTGACAGGACACGTAAAGTGGATTGAAGGCTGTGCTCGGTGTCAAACTGCCTTGCTTTGGTTTGAACATATGCTTGGAAGAGCCTCAATCACTGGCAGACACATAGCTACAAGGGTTGTGATGTATGAACAATCGATCTGGGGACCGTGCGTGGGTCCTTATCATCTTCCTCAAGCAGGCTGAAGGGTGACTGTGCTCCCCACAAAAAGCAATTGCTACCCACAGCAAGTGAATAGTTGCTGGAAATAAGATTTCTCCCCAGTATCAATGGGTAGTGATGTGCAGGGAGAGCTCACTTCGGCTGTGTTTAAGGAGCTGCAGTCTCTGAGGCTGCCTGACACCTTTCAACAGTATTAGTTTCACATCAAAAGAGAGAACATTCTCCTCTCTGCACATCCCAGAGGTGACAACCATCTGGAGGGTGGTTAATTATTTATTACAACAAAAAGACCCATCACTGTTGTGATGGGAGGCTGCAGCTTCTCTGTCAAAATCCCAGCCACTAGCATGGAGGAAAGAAAAACGAGCCCCACCAGCTGCAGATGATCCCCCACACAGGTCTTCTGGTTCTTATGCAAAGGATCCAGGCTCTTCCTTTCTAGTCTTACAGCCTAAAGGTTGTCTCTGCCCTCTCCCATAGCCCTTCACTTTGGGGTGAGTGAAGGACTGCCAGTATCAAAGGTATCTCCTGTTGAACAGGAGGGGCAGATGATGGAGATGAAAGCTTGGGGAATGAGGGAGGAGGAAACCTTTCTTTGGTTATTCAGGGCTCCAGCCCCTGCAGTTACTTAGGGGTTACCTGCATTTTATGGGAGTTGCTCTGGATGCAAAGGGCATGAAGTCCTCAGTCTGTTCAGCCAGCAGACACCGCATACACCACAAGTGAACTGGCCACTACCTCCTTTGAAACCATCATGAGAGTCTGAATGACACAGGAAAGAAGATACCAGGGTGACAGTGGAGAGGGCCATCTGACAGCAAATCCCTCTGGCTTTTGATCAGCTGCAATCTAATTTATCCACCAGCTAACCAGAGGTATATTTACTCTCCCAGTTGCTCCTGAGCTGAGAATAGAAGTGTCTTGACTGACAATTCTCCTCTCAAATCTTTTTCTGTAAACAGATTTGTTCTTGAGCAATATCTCCAGGGACTTCAAGCCCAGCCCTTGAGCACTGTTAAAGACTCTCTCTGTTCTGCAAGCTTTAGCCCTCCAGCTCTTCTGGTTTAAGACCCACACACACACTCCCATCAGTCCCACTGGCAGCGAGGGAGACAGAGTGATGCTGAGAGAGACAGCTGGAGACAGCTGTTTTGTTAAGTTTTAACTTCCTATTCCTCACCCCTCCAAACCCTCCTTGATGGGCTGAATCTTTTAATAAGCCTCACTGGGTCCAGGAGAGCTGGGAACTGCATTTGCCAGCACAGCTCCATAACAGCCTAGTATAAAGTGCTTTAAAAAGTACCTTCTGAAGTGATTTAACAGCAGCTTCACATCAGAAGAGGACTTACATAAACATTAAATGTTCTCTTTAAATATTAAAATATTCTCTTGGGATGAATTTAATGAAGCCTGGTCCCACTGCTTCAGCGCGCTACCTGATCTGAGCCTGGTCCTGAGTTAGTGTCAGAAACCTCTTGGACGTGCTGAAAGACATTGTTTCACCCCTCTGTCAGCCCCCATAAATATCAGCTGGAATTGAAGGTAACAAAGATTCCCTTTCTGTCACATCCCTCTGCTGTGCTGGGCCCTGCTCCTCTCCCTGCACCCTGCTCAGGGCAGCACTGGGGGCATCTCCCCCCTGTCCACCCTTGCTGGGACATCAGAGCTGTTACTGCACTGAGACATGCTCTGGGTGACCCAGCCAGATCCACTGTTTGCTGCAGTGATCGTAAGAGCATTGCTCAGGCTTTCCCTTTGCAATACAATGTGCTGATATGCAGATGTGTTGATTATGTGGCATTATCTCAACAACGTCAATCTTTTGTGCCGTTTCATTTATCACCACAATCAAATACTGCCATATTGAAAGAAATAAACCTGGCCACCTCATTTATCTCTTCCTGACTATCCCTTTGCGAATTGATTCGCTCCCTCTTCCCCCAGAGGAACACCCCCACACCCTGCTCCAGTCAAAACCTGTAATTTCTGATTGTCTCTTCCTCAATTTGTAAGCAGGACATGTCTTCTGCACCTGAGATGTCCAGCTCAATGCCTCTCCAGGCAGACATGTACTTTGCTGTTAGTGAATTTCCTTCCCAGCTACAAAAGAGAAGGCACAAAGCAGGAAGATCCCAAGTTCAGCATCAGCACAATAAAGTATTGCAGCCATGTGGGGCATTGCCCAGCTCTGCTTCTGCCTGTGTAGAATGGGGTGAAATGCCAGTTTGGGGGCAGGAGGGGTGAACATCCACTGGGTATTGGTGTGAGCACAGTGACAAATCAGAGCATTTATCTACCGAGCTGTCTTCCAAAGCAATCAAATCCTCCCTGTCGATGGGGACTGTCTGAGACTCGTGGTCTGTCTGCCCAAAGCAGCTCCCCCAGTGCAGAGGGCACCCAGCTCCAGCACTGCTGCAGCACGCTCTGGTGTCTGCTGGGTGCTCACAGCAAGTGAGGGGCAGGAGCTGGTGGAATCGATGCTCCCGTGCTGGGGGATGAACAGAGAGCATCTTTCCCCTTGTTTAAACATCGATTTTGTTCCCTCCAGCTTGTCAGGGCTCTCTCCACTGAAGCCAGCACACGCTGGTAACACCAGCAGTTTATCTGAGCACCTATGAAGTACCCACCCAGCTTGAAGTGGGAACAGAGACCAAGTAGCTACCTGGTGAGTGCAGCTGCAGGATACTGGAGACCAGATCTCTGGATGCTCCTGGTCACCCCTGGATGCCTTTCCCACCCTTTATCTATGGTATAGGCACCTGTGCACACTCACTCACCTGCACCGTGGCCCCTCTGTGTTTACTGCACCTTAGCAATTCTACCTGTAAAACTTCCAGAGAGGTCAGCAGAGCTCTTCTCCCTAGCCCCACATACACGTGTGTTCGTGAAAAGGACATTACACAACAGGGGTTTATTTCCCCTCCCTTTGCTAAAGAGTCTGCACAAAGCCCATTTGACACCGGTTCTCATTTTAATTGACTTTCCCAGTATCTTTTCATGGTTATGATGGATGCAGCTGACGAGTCGGCAGATGGTGTTGGGAAGTGACAAATTAATTACCACGAAAGGTCACTTTTTCAAAGCATTAAACTTTCCCATGTTTTGTCCCCTTTTACCTCAAACCCGCTGCTGGCTGGCCCATCTCCCATCCATCCGCAATGAAGCTTTCTGCACTGGAAAGGACAACCTTTACAATAAAAAGGGAAGATGAAAATTAATCATATCTGTGTTAGCTGCGTGGTGTCTGCCAGGTTCATGTCTTAATTATGCAAGAGGACTCAAAAAGGAAAGGAAACAGAGCTGAAAACAAGGAACCTGGCTGAGACTTCTTCTGTGGAAGCACTCGACCGGCTGGGAGCAACAGGAGGCTTTTTGCTCTAGGTTTGCCCAGTCCATGAAAGCAGCTTTTGGCACGTCCCTGTTGCCAAAGCAAAATGAGGATAAATGAAAATAAAAATCACAGCTAAAAGCTTCATTCCCCAGCATTATACTGCAAAAAACCCTGCCCTGCTTGCAGTCCCTCTCACAATTTGCAATCTGCAGCCCCCCTGGAACTCTCCTTGCTTTATGAAGCAAAATTGCAGGAGAATTGAGAAGCTTAGCAGAAATATGACGTGCAAAATGGAGCTGCTCGCCGTTCTGCTTGTACCTAAAGTTAAACATTTGCCATAATTGGGAGTAATTTCAACAGGAAACCGGCAGTAGTAGTAAAGTCCATTAAGCCGTGTATCAATTGCGGTGTCAAGGAATCAGGGGGAAATGAGCTCCCTGTGCCAGCCACACTGAGCGTTTGTCTCCATGTCCTCCACGCCGCTCTGTGCTTGGGGTATTTTGGCAAGTGGATTGCATAAAAAACAGGAGATAGAAGCCAATGTGAGTCTGAAGCTGAAATTAAGCCCCAGGCTAAGGCAGTGGGTGGAGAGCACATGGGGGGAGAGTGTGAAGGACCAAAATCCTGCATTGGCGCTGGGTCAGGCATTGGGGTATCCCCAGCAACGCTGCTGATTCCGGGGTGAACAGCAGAGCCACAGCACCAGCCCTGGCACCACCATGGGCTAAATCTCTCCCCCCATATCCACAAACCTCCTTGGATGGGGCTGGCACGTATGAAAAGGAAAGACAGAGCTTTGTGCATTCCGGATTGCTCCCACGGCCCCACCATACCCACAGCAGCATCAGGCTTGGACAAACCATGTCCCCAGCCCCAGTTCCCTTTCCCAGTGCTCACAGGAACATTTACCTCACCCCACTCATATCAAGTTATTCTTGCTCACAGTCAGACGGGTCAAAAACCTGCCTGCTGAGCTGAATGTCTGCAGTCACACAGCCCAGGTCGATGTGGGTAAAGGAGCTCATTTTCGGCTCCCTGCTTTGGAAGTGGGAGCAGAAAGCTCCTTCTCACAGCGCAGGCAGCATCCTCCAGCTGCTGTCTCTGCATGAACGCGTTACGGATTCAGCAGGCGCTGCTGAACCTCCTAATGAATAAAGCACCAGTGGCAAATTTTAATGCAGTTTGCAAAATATTAACACTAGGTAAATATTTGGAGACTCACGAGCTTAAAACACATGGGAATTTGCAGCAGAAATATTGTAAGGGTGCAGATTTCCTCCTCTCCTTCTCCCCACGCTTACCTGGCACCCACCTCAGTCTCTCCTCACTGCCTGGTGGTGCAATTCAAGGGCTGGGCAAACATCAGTAGCTGACTCCCCAGACCAGTTCACCCCCTGGTTCGAGCAAATAAGGATCTCTTAGATCAACAGGGGGTTTTGTCTCCCATTGTGTCTGTCTCCTCCCACTCTGCCTGGTTCCTGCAGGCAACCCAGAGACCTTGAGGATGCTCTTGCTGATGGCAGAGAGCTGTTGGCAAGGTGCAGGTCAGCCACGGGGAGGAGATGAAGGTTTGGATGTGCAGCAGAGGGTAGGGAGCATCCCGTTTGCCCTTCGGAGGCAGTGATCTGTTTTACCTGCAGATACAATGCTGTGCAGCTCTTCAGGACCTACATCTCCAATAGACCCCGGATGGAGCAGCATCTTTGCAGCAGACCCATCTCCAGCAGGATTGCACCAGTTTATATCCTCAGCAACTCACTGAACTCCTCTGGGTCTGCAACGTGCTTGCAAGAGCTTCCCATGGGTATTAGAAGACTGGAAAAGGAATGCTGCACCCCAGAATGCCAAAGCCTCTCTGGAAACCAGGCCTGAGGTGACCCCAAATGCGCACCCCAAAATCAGGGATACCTGGAAACTCTGCCTGCTGCATTAATTGAAGGACAAAAGAAAGAGGAAAATGTGTTTCTGGACATAGCTAGGATGGATTTAGCTTCTCTACCAGTGGTGGAGGAGACAGGCGCTGGCCAAAGTGCCCTATGACAATCATCTTCTATTAGAATTTAAAGAAACAGAACCAACCCAGCCCCCTCCTTATTAAACCACATTTCTGTGTTATAAAATCATTCTGGTCTCTCAAACAAGTGGGGAAAAAAAACTCAAACAAGAGAAAAATGCTCCCTTGCTTTGTTTTTCTTCATTTTTGGGTCACTCCTTTGCCATTCGCTCCCCGATCTGGAACAAGTGAAGAGAGAAAGGAGAGGAGGTGAGAAAACAAGATGGGATGCATCTCATCTGTTTCCATTTTGGTTTTCAAATCCAAACCCCCGGGTTTTCACTGGAAGGCTCAGGAGTATTTTTAGGAATGGCAGAAGATGGAGGCCCTGTGCAGAGTGGGGCTTGGCTGGGGGTGAGCAGGGCAGGCAAGGGGCCACAGCAGGGATGGGAGATGCTGCCTGCAGCTGATGCAGCTCAGTCAGGGGCTGAGGTTCTGAGGCAGGGAAAGCAGCAGCTCCCTGCTCCCTTCACAGGGAATGTGTATTAGATTTGATGGAAGAGCCATTTAGCCTTTACACCTGCTGACCTTTCATTTTCTTATTACCTCCTTTTACACGCACCCCTCCCACACACACTGTTCCCATATCAAACAACAATAGATCAGGTTAAGCACAGGCAGACAAAGGACTAAGGCACCAAGAAGTGCATTAAAGGGCTGGATTGCACTGCCCCATCGGCAGGAGAACGATGTGGGATATTCCTGCTCACACACGGATGCTATGTTCAGTGCTGTGGTCACTGTGGCAGATGAAGGTTGCAGGAAGCCCTGTCTCTTTGCAGATGGGGAGGTAAGAGCAGTCAGGATCCAACCACCAGCACTTGCAGTGGTTGTCCATGGGGATCATCCTTCCATGGTTGAAGCGTAGCGTGCACTGTGCTCAATGGTGCCAGCTCCCAGGAGATTTCCTGATACAGTGGACTGCATTAGGCTGGATGCTCAGCATTTATATCAGTGCTTTCAATGGAGAGTCACCCTTCTCATCCAGAAACCCTCAGCAGTTAATAGCAGTTTA